CACAGACAGTATGTGCGCTGTCCGCCAGTCACTCCTACATCACACACACACAGCCTGCACACACTCACAGAACACACCACAGAGAGTATGTGCGCTGTCCACCTGTACTCCTACATCACACACACACACAACCTGCACACTCACAGAAAACACTACACAGACAATATGTGCACTGTCTGCCTGTCTCTCCCTCTAAGCATACCTGGTGCCCCCACACCTGTAAGTGCAGCATTAGCCCCACCCTGACACACTGACTTGCCCCTGCGCTCACGCACAGGCACGCAGGCACACAGCTAGCTGGCCCTGAAGTCAGGCGGCTGAGTTCCCAGCAGGGCTGAAGGGTGGAGAAGGTGGCAGGTGAGTCAATACCCAGCAGGAAGAGAGGGGGAGGGGAGGGAGAGAGCATGTGTCAGTCTGTCCTTCCACAAGCTGCTGACAGATGGAAATTAAACAGGAGTGGAGCGGGGAGGTGGAGGGGATGGCGCAGCAGAAGGACGAGGCAGCGGAATTGGGAACAGCCTTGGACGGGGGCCAAAGCCAGCTCACCCTCCGAGCCAGCTTAAGACCAGGGAGGCTCAGGAGGGAGAAGTGGCAATGCACCCCACCCAGTCAGGGGACGGCCCAGAGCCACTCCCTGGGGTGGGGCTAAGGGAAGGCTGAGGACTCCCAATGACAGTGGACAGAAAGACTGGCTCCTAGACTTGGCCCTGAGTCACATGTGCAGAGGTCAAAGGACGATGCTAGGTGGGCTCTAGGGGTGGCCATGAGATGGGAGGTGGGGAGAGGGCTCCCAGCCTGCTATCTAAGCCCCAGGCCCCCAACACCTCATCTCAGGTCAGCTTTCCGGAAACACCTACAGGCTGAGCCCTGGCCTGCAGGGGAGTGGTGGTCAGGTGCCTGGATGCTGGCCACATTGGTCCAGGTCTGGGTTCCATCACTGACTACACGTCTGTACCAGTTCTAAGCTTGGGTTTCTTCATCAGTCAAACAGGAAGAGTAGAAGTACCTATCCTTGCAGTACAGTTAATGTGATCAGCAACTTCCCCGAAGGTCAGCATCCATCCAGAGACCCCTCAGAAGAAATGACTGGCAAGGCCCTTCGGAAAACCCTTCTGAAAACATTACACACAAACGCACACACACACACACACCACACCACACGGTCACTATGAGTTGGCATTGACTCAACAGCATCTAGCTCTCCTTTGGTGGGTTTGTTGACAGAGAAATACGTGGCCAGCACATAGTGCGTGCTGGATGAATACAATCACCGTCCTCCTCAACATGGATTCCCCCTCCTTCCATCTTATACCGCCTAAGCCCCTCAAGCTGTCTAGACTGGGAGCCTCCCGAGGACCCCATGTTGGCACATCGTAGATGTGCAAAGAACCAGCATCCTGGTGCGCCAACTGCCAAGTCAGACATACAGGAGGGTGTGGGAACAGAGCTGGAAGGAAGCGGCCCCCGAGAGACAGGAGATACCGAGAGGAGGTCACAAGCACAAAAGCGTGGGACCTCTGCTGGGACTGTTTCCCCATGCACAAGTGATCACAGCAGTTCTTCTTGGGGTCTATGAAGACCCCAAAATGGCTCCAGAGCTCTTGCATCCCCAGGAGGAGGGCCAGAGGGTGACTGGGAGACTAGAAAAAAAGGACGGTGAGTCCAGCCAACACTGACCCAGGAGAGCTGATTCAGAGGACCAGGAGGTCACAGGGACAGATGTGAGGGGACCTGGAGGCCTGCGCTCTTTCCACCTCTCCCCACTCCCATGTTGGTCTCCTCACACTGTGCCAGACAGCAGCCCAGTTGGCTACGGCCAGCCGGGGTACCTGCGTCCAACAGAGGGACAGGGGACAGGCACATCCCCATGGGCCTCATGCCCAAACCTGCAGACCAGACACAAATGCAGGAGCTGATACCACATTGTCAGTAATGCCCACCCGGAAGGCAGGTGTCTCTCAGCTCCCAACCACCCTGGGAAGTAGGGGTCATAGGGTGACTGGTGGGCACAAGGGCACCGAGAAGTCGCTTGTTCAAAGCTGAGCCCAGAGCTGGTGCCAGATCCGAGTGAAAACCCAAAAGCCAGTGATCAGGAGCCGTCCTCAAGGGCATCTTGTCACAAAAGCAGCCGTAGCAGAACCTGAAATCATGCTCACAACAGCAGGTTCTTGGATTTGGGGAAACACTAGGGAGAGAAAGGTAACCAAAACCAAACCCCCTGCTGCCGAAGTGAGCCCAACTCCTAGGACAAAGCAGAGCAGAGATGCTCCCCGACATTTTCTAGGCTGTGAGGCCTCCAACAAGCCGCTGCTGGGTCCGAACCGGAAACCTTTCAGTTAGCAGCCAAGCACTTTAACCACAGCCACACCAAGGCGCCCTAGAGAAAGGTAAACCGGTTTTCTGACTGCTGTACTCCTCAGTGTCTTTCACATGTTCAGACATGCCCACACACACACCCAACAGCTCCTGGATGGCCACAGAGCACGTGACACTTTCCAGACTTACTCAGGGACAGCTATTCTTTCAAATGCTGCCCTACACGACACAGCCCAAATCAGCCCTCCAGAGCGACGGTTTCCTGTCTGTTCTGAGGGAAACACATCTCCCAGTACACAAACGAGGCTCACCCGTAAGGTCCCACACGTGATCCCGGAAGTCAGACTGCACCCCCTCGGGGCCTGCTTATCCTCACAAAGTGTATCGGCAAGCAAAGCCCCTCCCCTCCTCTTCCTGAGACCCAAACTCATGGTGACCCCACATGTGTCAGAGGATAACTGCGCTCCATACGGTTGTCAATGGTTGAACTTTCAGAAGATCACCAAGACTTACTTTCAAGGTGCCTCTTCTTGTTAAGTGCCGTCGAGTCGATTCCGACCCACAGCGACCCTGTATAGGGTTTCCAAGGAGCATCTGGTGAGCTTGAACTACCGACCTTGCAGTTCCAACGGCTTTGCAGTCTGGCGCATTAACCCACAGTGCCACACCAGGAGCCTCTAGGTGGACTCAAACCTCCACTTTTTTAGTTGACATTCTAACACGCTAAAAGCGTGCACCACCCGGAAACCCAGCTCTGCCGTAATCCCCAGCCCCCCCATCAGTAGGCTCCTGGCAGCCTGCTCTGTCTTAGACAAAGGGAAAGATAGTATCATTTCGCACTGACTTCGGGTTTGAATTGTACTATGCAGGGCCATTCCCTCCATCAGAGAGAGGTGGGAAGGGTGGTGGGTCCCTCTCCCCAACACCAGTCCCTATCACTAAACTTGACAGTGGTACTGCTGACTGTGTGGCTTTCAGCCAGCCGCACCACCTCTCCACCTGCAAACTGGAGCACTTAACAATCCCTTTTCGGGTTTCACAGGGTAGCTGGGAACATGGAGGAGGGAAGAGCGGAAGCTGAGCATCACAATACAGAGCTGAGTCCCGGGCACAGAAATTGAGAGCAAGTACTGAACAGAAGAGTTAAAGCCAGAAATCCGAACTCCCCAAGTCTAACCTTAGAAACTGAGGCTCAGAGGGGTCTAGCAGCTGACCCAGGGTCCTGTGCACTCACCCGCTCCCTGTAGCTGTCAGTCTCCTGTGCCGTTTTCCCCCAACAGCCTGCTCCCAAGAAAACTCCCTCCCCATCTTCAGCCTCCTGGGCAGCCTCCTGGCCCCTCTACCTCAAAGCCTGCACTGACCACCTCCAAAGGCCCCACATCGGACACCCTGCAGGTCCCTCTCACTCCCCTCATGACCACCACTTAGAACATAGCCCCCAGCCCCTTGTCTGCCCTGCAGGCTCCGCGAGAAGCTTTCCTGGTCAGTAAAGGGAGCAAACCCAAGACTCACTGGATGGAAATGCTCCTGAAATAGATGCCTTTCCAGGTGCAAAGTCACCTCCATTAGTTTTAGAACCCCCATTTACAGCTAGCTCAGAAACCTAGTTCCTTTCCAGAGTTTCCAGAGCTTTGGGCACAGGGGCCAAGAGCCAAGTCCCAACACTGTTTACGCTGCTCTGAGACCAAGGCGAGGAGTGAGCACCAATAGGCACCAACATCCATCTCACTAGACCCCATCTACAGTAGCCATTCACTCAGGGCCATCAGACGGATGCAGGCTAGAACTGCTCCGATGGGTTTCCAACACCATATGTTCTCCAGAAGCAGACTGCTAGGGCTGTCTCCCAAGGCACTCCGGGAAGGTTTGAGCCAGCAGCCTTTTGCTTAGTCTTGGCGTGCTGAACCGTGTACACCACGACCCAGTGATCCCTCAACCTGTAGTGGGTCAGGCCAAGAAGACACGAGTCCTCCTTTCTACACCCATGGGAGCATCTGTGTTCCCTGGCCAGGCGCTCCGGTGACTGTCAGGGTGAAAGGAAGGCAAATAGCTACTGTGCCCAGAAGAGGGGTCTCCCAGAGCCACCAGAAGGCCCTGAGACTCATCAGTCACAGAAGGGTCTCATCTGTATGTGAAGTATCTCAATGTTTAAAAAAACTAGACTAAAACATCCAATCCAAAATACCTTCATGTTCTCAGCCCTCGTAGTCTATTTTTTTTCTCCTCAAAAACTTCCAATTTTTCAGCCATCTATTGCACCTCCCCTCCCACACCAGGACTTCCTTACCTGGCTCCGAAGCCAGAGATGTCTCCCACCTCCGTCCGGAGGTCTTCAGTGTGGGTCCCTGAGGAACGCGAGGAATCATCTTCTCCCGGGGTCTCTGGTCCACTCGTCTCACCGACTCCCAGTTCCCTGGCCTCCAGGTCTGGGGATAAGCCCCCACTGTTCCGCAGACCTAGGTCTGGGTCCTGGTGGACCTTGCCCACCCCATGCTCCCTGGCTTCACTCAGGGCCCCGGAGAGCTCCACATTCCGCAGACCCAGGTCCTGGGCCCAGTCCATCTGCCCCACTCCACATCCTCGAGGCTCCGGGGACTCCAGGTCACAGGACACCTCCAGATTCCTCAGGCCCAAGTTGTTGCCCCAGGCCATCTGGCCCACCCCCAGCTCTCGGGACTCCCCAGGACTGCAGCCTGCACCTGGGGTCATGTTTCTCAACCCAAGGTCAGGCGTCCAGTCTGCCTGGCCCACTCCACGCTCCCTGGACTTCAGGAACTCTCCAGCTTCCACACCTGACCAATCGGTCTGCCCCACCCCACTCTCCCTGGCCTGACTGGGGCTTCGTGCCTCCCCTGCCCCTGACAAATCTCTGCCCCTCATCCCGACATCAGACGTCCAGTCCTCCTCCCCAACCCTGACAATCCTGAGCTCCTCGGACCCTCCGGTCTCCAAGCAGCTAGCCAAGCCCATGTCCCTTAAGCCCAGGTCATCTGACCAGCCCATCTGGCCTGAGCTGCTCTTCCTAGCCTCACTTGAGCCCCCAGCCCCCAAGCAGCTGGAAACATCTAGGTTCCTGAGGCCCAGCTGGTCAGTCCAGTCCACAGGCCCAGCTGAAGTCTTCCCGGGAGGCATAAAGTGGCCCCCTCCCATCTGGCCAGCACCACCAGCTCTGTCCTTACCAATGATGCCAAAGTGGGGGTTCCTCTCAGTGCCTTCAATACAGAAGTTGTCACCCCAGTCTGGCTGCCCTGAGCTGAACGCCAGCTCGGGCTGGGGAGCAACCCCAAGGCTGAACTCGGTGGCCCAGCCTCGATTCCCCAGCTCCCTGTCTTCCAGGTCAGCATCCCCAGAGCTCTGGGCCCCTGCCTGCTGTCTGGCCTGCAGGCCCACAACATCCTGGCTGGCAGCGCCGTCGGGTGGCTGGGGGGTGCTGGGGCTGAACAAAGCGCCTGGCTCCCTGTCTTCTGGCCCGCCTGCAGCACTGTCAGCCCCATCAAGGTTGTCTCCGCCACCACTCGGGGTCTTCTTCTCAAATTCCTCATCCTGCTGCTGGGCGTCTTGGGGGCTGAAGCCGGCACTCAGGGTTCTCGAGTTGAAGCCTCGGTCCTGGGAGGCGAGGAGGGTGGAGCTGCCGCCACCGCTGTAGTCGTTCATCCAGGGGCTCTGTCCAAACGCCGGGGCCTGCGGCTCTGCATCCCGGCCGACAAAGGTGCCAAGTACAGCATCTCTCTCCTCAAATTCTCGGTCATGCTCACCCTCATTCTGGCTGCTCATCAACTCCTGGCCCGGCTCATCAGCATCCTGGCCGGCGTACGTACCCAAAGAATCCCTCTTCCCAAACTCCCAGTCCTGGAGACTTGCATCTAGACAGCTGTAAGTGCCCAGTGAGTCTCTCTTCCCGAATTCCTGGTCCTGGAGCTCTGCGTCCCGGCTAGAGTAGGTGCCCTGGGAATCCCTCTTTCTGAACTCCCAGTCCTGTGAGGTGGCCTCTGGGCTCTGCGGGGCACCAAGCAGGTTGGGCTTCCCGATCACCCTGTCTGGGGCGGCAAGCCCCCCAGCAGCAGCTGCCTCCCTCCTGTCTCCACTGGCAGCCTCCATCTCCTCCTGGTCAATGCCACATCTGCTGGCCCACTCTCTGGTGCTCCCTTCCCCGACTCCTTGCCCATAATTGCTGGACCAGTCCCTCTCGCCAAGGCCTGGGTCTCCCCTAGGGCTCACGCCCCCGAGACTGTAGTCCTGGGAGGTGTCTTGGGACCAGCTGGAAGGGCTGAAACCGCTGGGCTGTGGGTCTGAAGCAATTCCAAATTCACTATGCAGATCTTTCTGGGCCCAGCCCAGGAGTCCCTGGGAATCAGAAAACAACACAAAGAAACAGTGCTTAGAGGCAAACCAGAATGACAGTCAGTTCTGTCTAGTGCCTGAGAGCCACACTCCACAGCAGAGTCTGAGTTTACATCCCAGCTGTGTGACCTTGAGCAAATCACTTAACCACTCTGGGCCTCAGAAAATCCTCATCTCCAAAGGAGGCTAACTGCAATGGCACGGGGCTGCTAAGAGAGGATTAACCGGGAACATGTGAGGCAACAACTTAGCACAGTACTTGGCATGCACTGGACATCAATGGGTGGCCCCGCCATCATGCTTGGGCAACACTTGGCCAAAGGCCAGGAGGAAGTTTGCCAGGAAGAGGGGTGGGAAAGGAGGGGCATTAACAACTAGAAAAGCTCAACCTGAAGTACCTCTACAACCTCCATTCCAAGGCAAAAATTCCAACAGGATCCGAACTTTCTAGGCTCCTCCCTAAGGGGACCGCCACCCCTAATTAGCCTGCCTCAGGGACACCTCTAGCTGCTGCCCAGGGAGCAGACCCAGACATAGCTGCCTGCACCCCCACCCACTCTCCCTGACTCACCCCCACAGGCGGGTGAGCACCAGACTCAGGGCCTCGGAGTCGGCCAGCCTCGTCTCGCAACGCCGCGTTGGCCAGTAACCGCTCCAGGACCGACATGTTAGCCTCCCCGGCCCCGCGCCCAGCCATGGCCCCCGCCTGCCCTGGGCTGCTGGGTGCGGCAGCACCGGCACTGGGACAGGGCTGGGCTGCTTCCCTCGCTGGGACCTGTCCGACGGCTCTGGCTGCCCGCTCGCTTGCCCTGGCCAGGCTCCCTCAGGAGCAGCTGCGGCTCCCACGCCCCGCCCAGAAGCCAGTTGAGTCACTGGCCCCCCCACTGCAGGAGCTAGTCCAGCCTTAACCCCTTCCTGCTCCTCCTCTCTCCCCCCACCCCCAAACCACAGAGGTCCCGCCCTCCGGACCCGTCCCGCCCCACCCCACCCTGCCAAGCCCCAGGCCAGGCCAGGCCAGAGAGAAAATTTTCAAAAGCCACCTGGACCCTAGCCCTTAAACCTAGACAGAACAGGGTAGGAAAGAGGGCACTGGGCTGACCCAGCCCCAACTCACTGGGTAACCTTGCACAAGCCTCTATCCCCTCTGGGCCTTGGCTCCCTGCTCCAAGACAGGTCTTGAGCTAAAGGTTAATAACTCCGTAAGAGCCAACGCCTAATTCAGTCCCGGAGACCAGCCAGGGACTATTCTTCGTGTGTTTTACACGTATCATGATTCATTTAACCCCCAGATTAAATGATGAGCTAGACATCACCAGCTGGCCCCATTTCACAGACGCGGAAACCAAGGTACAGCACTAAATATATGCTCAAGGTCAAACCTGGCTAAACAGAGTAGAGCAGGGATTCGAACTCAGGCAGTCAGGCTCCAAAGCCTATCCTCTTACTCTGCTTTCTTGTTTCACGGAACAAACACCTGGTATGGTGCTCTGGGTTAAGGTGCTGTACTGTATACTGGGCTTGAACCACAAGGTCAGCGGTTCAAGCTCACCAGTCGCTCCTTGGAAACCCTATACAGGGTCACTATGAGTCAGAAATAGACTCAACAGCATGTAGCAATCAGAAGCATGGCACCAAGCACTTTCCGCGTGTCCGCCTCGATACAGCTCTAAGCAGCAAACAGTGTCCCCACTAAAGGGCTCTGCAACTCTGAGGGGAAAGTGCATTCCTGAGAGCACTGAATCCTGACCACTAGGCTGCTGCCCCCAGACCAGAACAGGGTATTAGCAGGTGCGGGTCCACAGCCGCCTTGCTCACAACTTATCCACAAAACTGGGGTGGAAAGAACGAAGCCCACCCAAGCCCTGGCTTCCTTCCCAAGGCCCAGCCCTCACCTCCGAGCAGGTGCCAGGGGTCTGCACGTCCTTGGGCTCGGATCCAGCTCCCCGCCTTGCGCTGCCGGCGCTGGGTGGTGGCGAAGCCAAGAGGTCATCTAGCCACCGAGAGCTGCTTGCGGGGCCCACCGGCTCTGGGGAGACCCTGCAGGGGGCTTCAGCTTCTGTCCTGGGCTGTGTGGTCTCAGCCTGGGCCAGGGTCACAGGCTCCTCCTCGGAGGGCAACCCCCGCTCGGGAAGAGGAGGATCGGCAAAGAGGACACAGGGCTGGTCAGGGGGTGCTGGCTGTCGCTGTTCCAGGATGGGCTCTAGGGTGGGCAGAGCTGACTCCCTGACGGCTGGGAGTAGAGGGGCCTCCTGCCCAGCCAGGGGCTCCCGCTCCTCATACCTCTCCTCAGCCTGCAGCAAGGCAGGGGAGATAGGCGGACCCCCGACTGTGGACAGGGGTTGGAGGGAAATTGCTGGAGACTGAGGGTGACTCACCCAGTCTCCCTTCTGGGTTGGGGAGACACCAGGGTCATCCACCTGCAGCTGGGAACTTGGCCTTCCCAGCCCCTCTGGAGCTGCCCGGGCCCCTGGCCCCTGTCCAGACACTCCTTCATCCTCAACGTCCACGGCGGTGTCCCCGGCCTCAGCAGCAGCCTCTGCAGCCTCAGTGGCCTCCGTGATAGGGGAAGGAGGTGGTGAGTCCAGTCGGCACATGCCCAGGCCCGAGGACCTCATGGGGAAGGTCCACTCGAACGATCGTGACAAGCTCCAGTTGGATTCGGTGCCACTCCCAAAGGGCTGATCCAGGGCCGACTGGGACCCCTGGGTCTGGGGCAAGGCAGCCATCGAGCCCCCTAGCTTCTCCTGATCCTGGCTGGGCGGCCGGAGCACACCTTCCGAAAAGCGACGCTGAGCCAGGTGGGTGGGGCGGAGGTCAGGGTGCCCCTCAGCTGCCACCTTCCCCTCAGATGGATACGTTTGTGTGAGGTCCGGGAACTCGTCCCCCTCAATCACAGGCCGAGGAGTACTGGCTTGGGGCTGCTTTGGACTGTGGCACCCTGAAACCTTCTTTGGGGGAGGGCTGGAGGGCTTCTGGGCCTCTGGGGCTCCCTCAACAGCAAGTGCCGGATCAGGGGACTGGTGGGAGCCCTCCTCCAGCTGGGTGAGACTTGGGGATGCAGGAATCACCAGAGGGCAGGAAGAAGCCCCAGGAACTGCAGGACTCTGCGCTTCTAGATGCTGAGAAGGGCTCTCCTCAAGTGAGCCAAGTCGGGGAGGCCCAGGCGCTGAGCCTGAGGAGTCGTCAGCGAGGTCAGGGCTGCCACAGCCTCCCTTGTCTGAAGTGGAGCTGAGACTAGAGGGGACCGAGGGCTTGGAAACCTGCAAGAAAAATATCAAGAGCCATCACTCGTCTGTCACTGAGAGACCCCAAGAGGAGGAGATGCAGCGCAGAGGGAGGCCTCTGGGGACCAGACCTTTCAGGACACTAGGAGAGGCTCCCAAGACAGACGTTCTTCTCAGCGTCACCTGTAAGTCAATTCCAGCTCATGGTGAACTCCCCCATGTGTGCCTTAGTAGAACTGTGTTCCATAGGGTTTCCCGTGGCTGAATTTTCCAGAAGTTGCCAGGCCTTTCTTACAAGGCACCTCGGGTAGATTCAAACTGCTTCACCAGCAGCTCCTCTCAAGGTCACATATCTACCGCACGTTGGGCTCTCTCACCACGACGTACACGTTCCCATTTTCCACAAAGTACCACTAACCCCATTACAGGAAATACAAAGCCCTGTCAGGCGGGAGTCCAGCCAAGGAGCCAAGAGTCTCAGGCTCACAGATCAGAACCACTTTAGGGAAAGGAAGTTGAAAATCTCAGCATCTATGCATGAGACACAGTGGGGGTAGGGGTGGGGTGGGGGATGAGTGCGGGCTGCCTCTCCAGACCACTCCCAGGAGCAGGTGCGGAGAGAGGGGCACCCACTACCTCACTCTGTGACCCCACAGCTACCAACACTTTCTGAGGGATGTAGGGGAAGGCCAAGCCCCAGGAGTCACCCCAGCACTGCCTCACGTATGCCCAGCTGTACGGTGGGCACTTGTCTCCCCGAGTCTCGACTGCCCAACCTGTAACCTGGGGCTAAGGGTTAACACAGCCTGCAAGGTCTCTCAGTACAGGGCTTAGCATAAAGACTGGAGGAGAGGATGCTGGGAATCGGAAAGGCACCTGGCATCCCATGACCGCTCCACTCCACCTGTACCAGATCATGAAGGAGCCTTGCTCCATGTGTCATTTGTCCTCCTGGGAGCTCACCATCCTTTTGCTGCCCTCTCCAGTGGGGCTGTGAACGCCCTATCACCACCACCAGGATCTGGGCAGGGGACGGGGTCCTGCTTATTTCTCAAGGACCCTTCCATCCCCAACTCCCTCTAGTTCTGAGGCTCAGCCCTTAACCTGTCCAATCACAGTCCCTCCGTGTAGTCCTTGAGCCTTGGGTCATTCCCCCTCCTTCCATAACTCATGGTGACCCCATGTACAGTGGGACAATATGTTACCTGGTCCTCCGCCAGCTCCACATCAGTTGAGGACCTGATGTCAGGACCCACAGGGTTTTCATGGGCTGATTGCTAGAATCAGAGCACCAGACCTTTCTTCTTATTCACCTTAGTCTAGAGGGCCTGCTGATACCTGGTCCAGTCATAGCAACACTCAGGCCTCCACTGGCACATGGGTGATGGCTCACAAAAGGTGCACGGGGTGGAAATCGAGTCTGGTTCCTGCACATGGAATCCCCAACACTATTGACAATCTGCGTGATTTCAAGCCTCCCAGCCAACCATGCAAGGTCCTGGCTCTCGGAGTCCTTGACCTCCTCTCCCCTATGACTCGGTGCCCCACCCTCTCCCACAGTCACACCCCATACCTCATCCTTACCAATCACTGCAACCCCTCATCAATCTCAATCTCAGGTTTCCCACTCGCCCACCCTACCATCTTATCTGTCCTGCTCACTCACATTCCCCAACTCTCCCATTCCTCTGGGCAGTAATCCATGAATCCTACTTCCTAGTCACCACCCCCACCTACATTTCTCTTTTCACCATCATTAAGGAGCTCTGGTAGCGCAGTAGTTACGAATCGGGCTGTGAGCCACAAGGTCCAGCAGTTTGAAACTACCAGCTGTTCCGTGGGACAAAGATGAGGCTTTCTGCTCCCATAAAGATTTACAGCCTTGGAAACCCTGTACAGGGTCACTATGGATCGGAACCGACTCCACGGCACATAACAACAATAACCAAGTCCCTTTGGTACACAACCATTAACTCCCTCGTTACCACCTCAGTACTGTTTGACCTGTTTCAACACTGCTCTCCACTAACCCTACATCAGCGCCCTAGCTCCTGGATGTAGCTGGAAAGAAAGACACACCAAGAGATTTCAGATCCATCCCCTGGCCCTTGAGCAGCCCAGCAAGCCCACCACATTCCGCAGGATCCCCGTTTCCCAGAAAACTACTGTGCATCGTCGTCACCCCATCCTCTTGCTCAGATAACAGCCTTGCTTCCTGCTGCTTCCTGCTTGTTCCTGGAGGACAAGGAAGCCATCAGCAGGGGCCACCCCCGTTCTGCACCCCCACGGCCTCGGCCACCAGTGGGCGAGCCGTGCACTTGGCACTCCCAGATGAAATATCCTTGTCAAAGCCAAGGGCCTCCTCCACCTCTCTCTCCAGCGTCATTGATTTTTTCCCTCCCAACTGGATCATTTCCATCAGCCAAGATGCTAGAATTCTTCCATCTTCGAAACAAACAAAAATGAAACACCTTCTTGGTCCCCCACACCTCACTCCAGCGACCACCCACTTTCTTGAAGGCGTTGCTTACGCCCCCACCTCTGGCTCCTCTTGCCCCACTATCTCTTGAACCAGCCCCACACAGGCTTCCCTCCACCTCTCCAGCTTCATAACTGGCCAAGGTCGCCGATGAGGTCCATGTAGCTACAGTCAATTCTCAGTGCTCACCTCACTTGACCCATCAGCTGTATTGGACACACTGGACGCACCCTGCGCCAAGACATGATGTCGCATTGGGCCTCCAGGACTTTACCCTGGCCAGCTTTCCTCCCACCTCCCACCCCGGCTCTTTCTGTTCTCCCCTACTTAATCCAGGAGAGCCCCAGGGCTTCGACCCGGCTACCCTTCCCTCTGGGATCTTCACTATGCCCTGGGCCCTCAGCAACTGCAGGGAGGAGGGGGAGCTCCTGGGGGGCACAAATGGTTCACCGGCATGGCTGCTCACCGAAAAACTGGAGATTCAAGTCCACTCAGAGACGCCTCAAAAGCAAAGCCTAGTAATCAGTCACTGAAAACCTCATGGCATTCTCATGGAATCCGTAAGGTTTAGGGGGTCACTCAACCTGGATGAAGCCCCTGAAACGATTCCCGACATACATTTAAAATCTTAAACCAAAAATATCCTCTGAAGGCTTCGAGAAAACAAATAACCATGCCCCCCACCAAAAAAAAACCCCCACTGCAGTCAAGTCAATTGCAACACATAGCAGCCTTCTGGTGGTAGGAGAACTGCCCCGTGAGGTAGTCAAGGAAGGCTGTATCTTCACAGACGCACAAGGCCACACCTTTCTCCCAGATCAGCTACTGGGTGCAAACAGCGCTTTAACCACTGTACCACCAGGTCCCCTTGAACCAAATAAACCCCAAACCAAATTCCCTGTCATCAAGTAAATTCTGACTTAGCTTGAAAACCTCTAGGGTTTTCAAGATTGTAAATCTTTATAGAAGTAGACAGCCTCATTTTTCTCCCATGGAGCAGCCGGTGGTTTTGACCCATCAACCTTAAGGTTAGCAGTCCAATACCTAACCCAGAGAGCCATCAGAGTTCCTTAAAACAAACACTGTGATGGCTGTTGAGTGGCACTGAGTCAGTTCCAACTGGCAGCGACCCTGCATAGAGTTTCCAAGGAGCCATGCTGGTTCAAACCGACCTTGTAGGCAACTGCTTATCCTACAGTGCCACACCAGGACTCCAAGATGAATTCAAGAACATCCACCTTGATCATTCAATGGTACTTAACAACCCCCACCTTGATCACCGTGTTCTCTTAAGAGCTATCTATGTGAGATCGAACTGATAACAGCAACTTGAAAGATGAGATAGGAACAGGGTCAGATTACCCATTAAGAAAGGTACACACAGGTTTACTTGTGCTTACTTACTAATCTGCATAGTCACTCCACCACCAGGCTGCCTTTACTAATCTGTATGGAACAATTTCGCATATGTTTTGACATATCTGATATGGTAAAAAACATGTGGAACTGTTCACTACAAATTAGGAAGCACAAGCCATGCTTACCTTGCTTAGTGGGTACTCCTACTGGTGGTGTTGGTGGTTATGTGCTGTGGAGTCGGTTCCAACTCATAGTGACCCTGTCTAGAGTTTGAGAGGCTGTGTGTAATCTTTACGGGAGCAGGAAGCCTCCTCTTTCTCCCACCGAGTCACTGGTACTTTCTAACTACTGACTGTGAGATTAACAGCCCGACTCGTAACCACCACGCTACCAGAGCTCCTCTCCATCCCTACTAGTGATCGTAAATTTTAAAAGAAGCTTTGATTCTGTAGGAAGCTGCTATGGGATGGGAGAGATACAGAGGCCAGCCACACTTAGAAATCTTTGATGTAGTGAAAAAAAATAGAGAATTGTTCACTATAGATTAGTAAACCCATGTTTATCTTGCTCACTGGGTAATCTGACACTGGCTACAAAATTTAGGTCACAGTGAGCTTCTGTTCATGGGGGAGCAACAACTCAGAATAGGAGGGTGCAAATGGCTGTACAACTCGAAGAACGTGATCAGTGCTGCCGAGGTGGGCCTCTAGAAACTGAACTGGAACATGCTCTGCTGTATATATGCCTAACAACAAGAGAACGTAAATTTAAAACAAACAACAAATGAGAAACCATCAGATGATGACAGTTAACATTTTGTTAAAAAGTAAAACCCTATGGAGTGCAGTTCTATTCTGACACACACGGGTCACCAAGAGTTGGAACTGACTCAACAGCCACTGAGTTTTGTAGTGAGGAGACCAGGAGAGGATGGGGACAGTAATCATCAGTTGTTCTTTCCAGCTCGCTCACATCCCCTTAACTCCCAACCGCCCACCTGACATGTGTGCACTCAGATGTCTAAAAGGGATCTCAAACTCAGCAAGCCCAAAAGCAAGCCCCTACCCACCACGAGGATCGCATCTCTCCCGATTCTCCCATGGTCCAGAGAATTCGCATTCTCAGTGAAGAGCAACTTCATCCTCCAGGTAGCTCAGGCCACAAGCCCTGCGGTCATCCTAGAGCAGCACTTTCTTACCCCAATACCTACTTATCTGCAAACCCTGGCCATGCCACCTTCAAATCAAAACCGAATCCTCCACTTCTCAACACCTCCCAGGGCTTGGCTGCCATCACGATCACAAGCACCTCCTAACAGGTCCCACTTGTTGCTCCCACCTCCTTGTAACTATCAGGCAAGGTGATGCTATAAAGCTAAATCAGCTCACGTCTCTCCTCTTCACCAATCCCTCGCTGGCTGCTTCTCCTCACTCAAGCAAAAATCTTTACAGCAGTTTGCTCAAAACAACCCCACCACATCTTTCTGCATCCCCACCCGCCATCCCTCTCCTCCTCCTTTGCACTTGCTCGTCTCTCTGCCAAGAATGCTGTTCCCCAAACACCCACGTGGCTCACATCCTGGCCTGTGAAAGTCACCTTCTCAGAGGGACCCTGCCCCAGCTCTCTAGTCTGATAGAGTATGCATCCACTGGTTACAGAGAAGCCAGGAACCGCTGAGAGCAGGAATGGGGCAGGACTGTTCTTTGCTGTTTCCCCAGCAGCCAGCTCCAAGCAGGCCCTCAGTAAACATTGTTGGGTAGAATGACTAGATGAAGTTGGGTCTCCGTCACAAGGAGAAGGGGCAGCCAGCAGCTAGCAAGGGCCCTAGGAGTAAGGAGCCACCCTTTTCATCACTGACTGGTAAGAGCAGGCTGATCACCCACTAGCCACTCAGGGATCCTGCAGTGGGGAGGAGGGGAAGTAAGAGGATTGAAGTCCGCCAAACAGAACTCTTCCTGAGTCTTAACCCAGGGAAGGCAGCACAGCGAGGGGACTGAGGAGTTGGAGCTCTCGGCTCCTGTCTCAGTCCCTTCCTACATGGGGCACCCTGAGTCAGAACTTTAGCTTGGCTCGCCTTGGCATCCTCCTCATCCTCATGTGGAACTATCGGCCTACGATCTCTGGTGACTCTCTAGAGTCAGCAGAGCAACTGAGTTAATGTCCCTAGGCCATGCCCAGCACACAGAAGGTACTTCATGAATGGCAGTTATCAGGATCATGATATACTCTGTCAGTCTGTCCACCTGTGGTGCCTTGCATGCTGTTCTGATGACGGACACAATACCACCTGTCCCAGGTGGACAGGTTGCAACAGGATTTTCAGACTAAAACACACTAGGAAGAAAGGCTTGGTAACCTACAGCCAAAACTAGTCAATGAAAGCCCTGTGAGTTACAACAAAGCATGGCAGACAGCAGCGGGAACACGGTCATCGTCACTGCTCACTACAAGGAGCACCCTCAGGATCTGGACCACACGGGGCATCCCGGCAATCGAGAGCACTAGTCTGGGTGTCGAGGACTCTGGTACCCAGCTCACTGCAGACCATCAGGCGTGCCATCCGCTGCATGGGTCTCAGTTTACCCATCTGAACTAAGTGGAGAGTGAGGCACATGGTCACAGGCAAGCCTTCCAGCAATCCAAGGCTCTCATTCTGACTGTCACATGAGGGGAACTCACACTGGCAGGTGATTCCAAGCTGGCTGGCTGAGGCAGGTCCCCGTTCAAAGTCAAGTTGGAAGCGGAGCTTCTATGAGACAAAAACAGAAATGGAGGTCAAGAATGCCCACACTTCCCACAGGGTGGACAGGCAGAGAGAGCTGGTCCCCAAAACTCCCTAAACTACTTTTACAGCAGCCAAATGTTAAATACCCCCAGGCATTTACTACAGATACCAGCCCAGTCATATGTCCCCAGAAGACAGTACCAACTGCCTGCCAGCACATAAAGGGTTAAGTTTCCCATCTCATTTGGGGGAAGTATCCTGTAAGCCCTGGTGTGGCGCTGTGGGTTAATACACCAGATTGCAAAGCCGTCTGAACTGCAAGGTCGGAGGTTCAAGCTCACCAGCTGCTCTTCGAAAACCCTATACAGGTTTGCTATGGGTCAGAACTGACTCGACAGCAAACTACAACAACAATCCTGTACGTCCACACTCCTCAGTGGTGTCTAAAAGGGCAACTCCTGCTTCCCCTGCCCCCTAAGGGGTTAAGGCTTTCCCCCTGCCAAGAAGTATGCAGCTGGGCCCGGCTGCCCTGCCAATAATACTTCTGGAAGGACTGTAGGGAGAGGATAAGTGAGGAGAGAGTTTCCAAGGCTGAAGTTGGGCCTCAAGGGCTGTTTAGAGCACAGGAGGGAAGAAGGAAGGAGGGTAGAGCCCGATCTGAGCTACCTGTAACTTCATGGATGTCCTGGTCTGGGATTCACCCTAGAAGGGTTAACCTCTGGGCCCTGGCTCCAGGCACTTTCAGGTGAAAGGCATAGCTGGTGGGCAGTCTAAGGCCAGAGCCAGGAAGGGGTCCCAGACCACAGCAGCCCTGCCCTGCCCAGCAGTACCAGGGGAAAAGGAGCCAGTGGACCCAGCAGAGTGATCCAGGGGACAACTGTGCCTCCAGCTGGTTCTCCCTCGGCCCAGGGAAGGTCTCCTCATGTGCATGATGGTGTCCAAGACCCCTCAGCTTCTTTCTCCAATGCCTTGTGCCCACCAGCCCCAGGTGCCTCCTGGCCTGCTCTGGCGAAGTGGGTTAAATGCCACAGACTGTGCATTCACCCTCCCTGGCATGCTGTCTTATCGCTCCCATCAGACTCCTCCCTCCAACAGCGCCCTGTTCATCCCGCTGTCCTGCCCACACTACGCGTGGCACTTGCTCCACCCACCACCCAGACTTCAGAATCAGACAGGCTCAATGCAAACGCCAGCTCTGCACCTTACTATGAAAAGTTACTTTTGAGACTCAGTTTCCTCCTCTCTAAAACGGATCTAAGACTTCTTTCACCCAAGAGCATGGCTATGGGGTAAAGGCAGCCATGTCTGGAAAATATTGATCTCAGACACCCAACTCTCAGTGTAAAGAAACGAAAAGTCAATTTCTATGCTGGACGTTTGAACTCTCCACTATAGACACGCAGCAGCTCCTGTCGGCTGGAGGTGAACCGTGTGCCAGAGTAGATCAGATTGAGCCTGTGTCACAAAGTGTCATTAAGTGCCATCGAGTTGGTTCCAACTCACAGTGACCCTGTGTAGGGATTCTGAGGCTTTAAGTCTTTGTGGGAGCAGAAAGCTGGTAGGCTTGAACTGCAGACCTTGTGGTTATCAGTCCAGCGTTTACTCTATAGACCCAGTACGTTCTCCCATCATAGCATAGAAACCAATGAAAAATGAAGGTTGTGACCTCAGAGGGGGCCACCCATGGCATCCGCAGTCCCCTGGCTGGCAGGCTGCAACAAAGCACACAATCTCCCAGCCCTCACCTCTCCTCGGGGGTCTTGCTGTTCTCTTCCTGGTTCCCTGTTGGAGACTTCTCAGGCCCCTCCTGGGACCATGCCCTAGAAAGGACCCTGCCATCCTCATCCCTGGGGCTGGTGGCCACGCCATAGGTCCGGGGGCCATAACGTGAACTACCATCGTGGTTGAAGGTGAGGCGGGAGCCCCAGAGTCGGTCAGGGCTGGCAGGGACCTCCTTCCGAGCCTGCTCCATCTTGGCCAGGATCTCTTCTACCGTGGTAGCTGCAAAGCGCTCTGAAGCAGGGCGGAAGGGGGCCGGGGCCTTCCGCACTCCGCCTAGGGCAGCACATCTTGCTGGAGGGGTCAAAGGGGGGCCCTCCTCTTTGCCAGTCTCTTCCTTTCCAGCCTCTGGAGTGGTTTCTCCTCCATCAGGGACCTCGGCAGTAGGCCTTGGTGCGAAGGGGAGGGGACGCTTGCTGCCACCATAGGGCTGGGGTCCTGCCAGCATGTTCATCTTCCGGGCAGAAGGCAATTCAGCCAAGGGGCCCCGGGGGGGCCGAGGCCCTACAGGCACCAGCAGGCTAGGTTTGGCAGGCAGAGCTGGTTTGGTGGGCAGGGCTCGGGGTTTGGGCTTGACTGGAGGTTTTGCCCGAGGGTCACCTACCAAAAAGAAAGGGTTGGGGGGAGGGGAGGATAGCTGTCAAGAGTCAGGAAGCAAAATTTCTTGTGTTTCCTGTTCAACCTCATCTCTCACCCTCCAAGCCCAGAATGTTCTAGGCACAAGTCAAATGCCACCTCTTCCAGGACGCCTTCCTTGGTTCCCCAGACACAGCCCAGAATCATCCTCTTCCTTCTCCAAAATGCCAAAAGGACTAGACAATTCCCTCTTCTAAGTTCTGGCTATTTAAGAGCCCAGCTTCCTCCTTGCTCCCCATTTGGTATCTAGCATAAAAGCTTACCAAAAGAAAGAAAGACTCAATCAATGAACAAAATGAGTCAGTACATGCTTCCTGCCTACCCGTGTCAAGCACTCAGTTTGGTCCACCATCTTAGTCCTTCCCCTTGTGTGACTCTGGCCCAGGACAAACTTCTTCCCAGCTGGGCTTCTGGATCCTGCTGCTCCCTCCCCTGGGGCACACCCAAGCCACCTCCCCCCGCCCCCACTGTCATCCGCTGTGTGATTGAGAATGCAAATCTACTATTGACCTAAGCCAAACAGAAGGCAATCTGCTGCAGGATAAAAAGAAAACCAGGAGCAGAAATCTACCTTCTATATAAGGCATTCCAATGGCCAAGGAAAGACCTTGACATTACTCATGGCCACCTCCCCTCTAACAGAATCCTACAGCACCCTCCTCCACTCAGTGTAAGGAAGGAGTCCAGACAGGGAGCCATCTCTCCCTTCGGAGTCTCAGTTTCCCCTCAGAAAAATTAGCAGCTCAGTCCACACCATCTTGAAGAGCATGTGGCGGGATGTCTGACCGTTCCAGAGGGTCCCAACAGTTAAGACCCTTTCATACTCATCTGCACTTCCTCACTCCTACCTCAACAGAATCATCACTGGCCCAACCCCACTAAGACAGAACACGGGTGCAGTCTCCCTGCCACCCATCCCGCCCTGCACCCATAGGTACCTGGCTCGGAGCCAGCGGGCACCAGCTCCTCCTCCATCTCCCGGGGTGGTGGGGAAGCCATGGTTGTGCCTTCCCTGAGAGTTGAGACTTTCATCACATGCATGCAGCAGACCCTGCATGAGAATGGGGAAGCAGAGGGGCATGAGCTGGGACACCGCCTAAACTCCCAGGAAAGGAGAGAAGGGAGGGAGGAGAAAGAAAGAGCTGGGCGTTGGCAGTAAGTTCAGTCATGGGAAGTCTTCTAGCAGAAGGCAGAGAGTGGGAGATAGAGAGGGGACTCCAAAGGGGGCTCAAGGGAGGTCAAGGGAAGCATGCAGAAGCCAGGTCCTCTGCTCACTCCGACTCAACCCTGGAGCTTCAGGGAGTGACCCACTGGCTCCCTCCTCTGGCAAACTCTCCAAGCCAGCCCACTTACCATTCCCAAGGCCCCACCGGAGTTACCTACACAAGGTTAAGCAAGGAGGGCCTCAAAGTCTGTAGTCTCTCCGTGAATCACCTCATGGGAGACGGGAAAAACCCGCTCCTCCCCAACCTGGGGCTCCACCCCACCCCCTTCCCGCTCCCCCTCCTTCCCTCCCTCCTCGAGCTAGGAGTGGTTCTTCACCCCCCCTCCACTCCCCTCCACAACACTGCCCCCCTCCTGCCTCTCTCAGAGCTGTCTCATCCAAACACGGAAAAATAAGGAAGAAAAAGTAAACATCTGGAATACATTTTTTTTTCTTTAATTTCTCAATCGCTTTGGCTTCAGCTTAGAATTTGATGAGGTAAAGCCAGGGCCTAGTCCTGTTGTCATAGCAATGGCCTCCCACTGGATTTCCAGAGCCTTGCCAAGAGGAAGGAGGAGCCGGCCCAAGACTGGGCTGGGAGAATGGGACAGGGCTTGAGAACATCCGGTGG